CACATCTTTGCAATTGTGAATTGTGCTGCTATAAACATTCGGGTGCAGGTGTCTTTTTTATAGAGTGACTTTTGTTCTTTTGGGTAGATGCCCAGTAATGGGATTGCTGGATCAAATGGTAGGTTTTTTCTTAGAGTATATAGCATGCCTGTTGTGTTTTAAGAAAACTCAATATTACAAATTCCTGCTTACATTATAGACATCTATTTAGATTTAAATATGTGTGTATTTATGTGTATATGTGTATGCATGTGTGTATATATGCAAGCATGTTTATACACATACATTCATGTATTTGTATATATGGCAGAGAGAATGTCAGTGTCTACAGATTCCTCTAGTCTTTGATTTCTACCGTGTTGAGATAGCTGCTCTGGACCAGTTTTTATTTGGTTGTGTTCTTTCTCAAGTATTGTCCTCAAAGAGTGTATATGGGAAGTTTACTTTTTGAATCCTTGCATGTTGAAAATGTTTTTCTTTTTCCCCTGACAGCTGAATAATATTTTGTCAGGGTATAGGATTCTTGGATCAGTTTTTCTTTTCAGTCTGTACATTATTCCAATGTCGGTAAAATTCCAAAGTTATAAATGAGAATTCCTTTAGCTAGTCTGAATCCCTTGCTTTGGTAAGTAACTTATTCTTTCTGTCTGGAAGCTTGTATAATTTTCTGTTTACTCTTGAAATTCAGGTATTTCCTGGATTCACTTCCTGAACTTAATGAGGCTTTTAATCTACAGTCTTACTTCAGCTCAGTATAATAAAATATCTAGCACTGTATTCGTTTAATTGTATCTCCCTCATTTGTTCTTCTTTTCTTTCTCTTTTTAAATTTTTTCTGAAATTCCTGTTATTCTCATGCTGGGCTGCTGGATTTGTCCTCCAAGCCTCTTATCTCTTCCATCATTATTTCTCTCTGTTTCTTTGCTATTTGTAGTAAATATTTCATTTACTTGGTCTTCCAGAGTATTAATTTGATTTTCATCAGTTCCAGTGATTTTTTTAGTTCTTCTTTGTAAATTTTAAATTTAAACTTAAATTCAGTGTTTATAGTTACAGAAAGTCTTTCTTGCATTCTTCTTCTGATTTCTCATTGTTTTCACTCTTGATGTGTTCTTCCAATTTTTTTTCGTTTCTACTTTAATAAGACTTGCCTTTTAGAGATGTTCTATATGATCTTCTTTCAGATGAACTAGTCCCCGCTAAGTTACTTATTATTTTTGTTTTGCCTACTCTTTGGTTTATGTTATTTGGAACTTCGTATAGGTTTTCAGAGTTCTGTTGGCATTAATGAATCTGAAAGCAGTGAAAGGTACAGAAGTTCCTGCCCTGGCATTCTGGCCGGCAGTGAACCAACCAGCCAACAGTGAGCAGCCCCTTCTCTCCTCTTAGAGTGACCTGGGCAGAAGCAGCATTCCTTTCTGGCTGCTGACCTTGAGTTCAGCCTGTGATGCAACCCCTGACTCTCTAAGGCCCCATCTCTAATTCTAATCCTATAAACCAAGGGAGCAGGGCATGGCACAATGGGCTGGTTAGGTACAGCTTGCCTGAAGGTGAATAGCTATGGGGGAGGTCAAGTTGGCCACTGAGATATTTAATACTTTGGGGAATGTCAAAACCCTGGTCTGAACAGAAGCCTCAGGGAGAGGCAAACCCTTTGTTCTACTATTAGTACCTTGCCTTTACCCATTAACAGGGTAAACAAAGTCCCATACTTCCTCTCCTGGTGAGTTCTGGAGAACCTGTGGCCTCAGGTGTACTCTCTAAACTTTGACAATTCTGCTGCTTAAAAGCTCATCCATATAATCCACCAGTTTGATTTAAAAGGACCTAAATGAATTGGACCCTAATGGTGTTTGAATAATCCTGATGGAGGATGGAGTTGCCAAAGGCATGTGTAGCCATAAAATTTCCTATCTCGTCTTCACTCCAAGCATACTCTCTAGCCACCTATTCTAACTTGCCTGTGAGGACTAAGACATCCCTATCCTTCCCTTTATTGGGGAAAAAATCTACTTGGAATTACTTAGTTACACTGCGAAGTGCTGAGTTGTTTAACTCTTGCTCTGTCACAAATCACAATGAGTGCTCAGTAGTTTAACACAGTCATTTACTTGGCTCATGGGGGGCTCATTAGGCTATGATCTGGTGTGTGATCCAGATCATGTCTCAGCTGGACTCACCCATTGGGGTCTTGGCTGCCTGATTCAGGTTGATCCAAGACAACCTGGAGGTGTTTGACCCCCATTGGTCTTGGCTGGTTATTGCTTTGCTCCACGTAGCTCTTACTTACCCTCCTCATGGGACCAGTGAGCTAGCCGAGCATGATCTGCTCATGGCAGTGCCAGAGGTGCAAGAGAACAAGCAGAAACACATAAAATCTCTTGATTTATGACTGGAACTGGCGTGCAATCACTCTTGCTTCATTCTTTTGGCCAAGTCCAGTCATATGGCAGGATCCAAAGTCTAGAGGTGGGAAACAAGGTCCTGCCCACAGCATGGGGGCAGGAGGGGAAGGTGCAGCACTGCACAGTTACATGGCAAAGGATGTGAATACGTGGAGGGATGGAGACTGCGGCCAAGAACTCAGCCTGCTTCGGCTGTTCAAAACTACGGTGCAATATTTCCAACTTCTAATGGTACCTCAAGGGAGAGAGCCCTGCGTTTAGTTTGAAGGTAGTAGGGAAACTTGCACAGAGGAGCTGACATTGGAACTGGACCATAGGATGACTTGGATTTGGCCAAGCAGACAAGAATGGGTGAAAGGAGCAATAATTGATGAAGATGAAAGGAACAGTCAGAGTAAAGGCACAGCAGTCTGCAAGTATGAATGGGGCATTTGGGGATGGAGGAGTGGTCCTGTGTGGCTGATCCTTGGGAACAATTCGTCTATACTGTCTTTTGATCCATAGTATTTCTCTTTCCAGTGGGCTATTAGAGCTCCTAAAAAGTTGAAATTTCAGACATTGTGCCAGGAGGAGTTAGCCTATTGTGTACTCTTCAGAACATATTACATAGGTGGCTGCCTTCTCTATACATTTAAAAAAAAAAATCTTGCTTAAATAAGGTGACTAATCTAGCACCTATATATTAGGTTTCCACTGGGGTTAACACTCCTTCAATAGATTTGTGCTGTTTAGCACAGCTCAATATGTTCTGCCATCTGTATCATATCTAAAAAATCATTAATGATAAATGACATTTGTTGGCTTTCAAAAGACATATAAGCCTTACTCAGTGCCACCTCCTCTATGGAGCCCTCCTGGATATACCCCCCACCAGATTATATCAGGTTCTTCTGCTAAAGGTACTCATTTTTCCCCCCACTTCCTTCAGAACATTTTATGGTTATTGGTATTTGATTTCAGTTGTGATTGTTTGATCAGTTTCTGTCTCCCCAATTAAATTTTCAGCCTTTGTAACAGGAGAGGATCAAGTCTTTTGCATACCACTTGTTCCCTGGGGCGTAGCATAGTTCTGGGAGTGTAGTAGCTGAATACTAAATATTTATTGAGTGTGTGAGGGAATGAGTAAATCTATGAGGTTCACATAGACTGTTGCACCTGTGAGATAGGTTTTGGGCTATCTTTAAAACCTGTATGAGCTCCGCAGGTTTACCGTTCACCTGTGAGGAGGCAGACAAACCATATTCATTCTTTAATGCTTCCGTTCTGTCAGTATTTGTTGTGGCTTGACATACACCTGAATGTGGATGAGATACTGATGATACAGGGATAGGTTTGGGGGGCTGGTTTTGTTCTGATGGGGTTTATTAATACATCAGACATTGATATAGCAGATTTTATTTTATAAAGCTTGCCTGGGATACAATATGGAGAACAGATTAGAAGGCAGTAGCACTATAGGGAAGATGTATAAAGAAGCAATTAATTACATAGTATGATAAGGGCTATGACGGAAAATGTACTTCATGCCCTGAGGGATCAGGAGCACCTAGCCCAGAGCTGGAGTCTCAGCCGAGGCTAAAGTAAGAGTTTGAGTTATAAGGGTGAAGAAGCCAGGAAGAGTGTTCCCAACTTCCTTACCCTAATAGGGGTAGGATAAATGCACAGAAGTGTGTAAAAATATGACTTTTTTGGGAAAACTTCAAATAATTTTTTTTTGTTGGAATGTAGATTATTAAGGATGAATTAATGAGAAATGAAGCTGGAAAGGAAAACAGCTGCCAGCATTCAAGTCTTTCACCCATTGCTTTAGACTGGAAGGACCATATCATTTATTATATATATTTGGCACTTTTAAAGACTCTTTTATTAGAGAGAATTTTGAACATGTAAAAAAAGTAGACAGAGTAGCAGAAGGGAACACCCACACTCAGCCCCACAGCCAACAGCAATCCGTGGCTAATCTTGCCCTAACCACAATGCCATTCAATTCCCCTTCTCATGTTATTTTGAAGCAAATCCCAAATATCCTATTATTTCGTACTTAAAATTTTCAGTATGTATCTCTAAATGATAAAGAGCCCCTTTTTGGCTTTTTTTTTTTTTTTTTTTTTTTTTTAAGGGATAGAGTCTTACTGTATTTCCCAGGCTGGCCTCAAACTTCTAGACTTCAGGCAATCCTCCTGCTTCAGCCTCCTGAGCAGCTGGGATTACAGGTGTGCACCACCATGCCTGGCTAGGAGCTTTTTTTAACATAACCACAACTGCTAATATGATATCTAAAATTTAATAATAATTAATTCAGCTTATCAGTGTTATAATTTTTAACTGTCTCACAAATATATAAATATAGATATAAATACAAATATTCATATACACAGTTTGATCAAGGGCCAAGACTTTTGAACGTGAAAAAAGATGCTGTCAATAATTAACGGGTACATATGGAGATTTTTGATCTGCATAGTGATGTATAATTATCTATATTGGTTTAATCCATTTCTTCAATGCTACTGCAGATATCTGGTCAGGTATTCGGCAAAATATATAGGGAGCCTAGCTCATATTATTGGTTCTTCCTCTCTCCCATTTTCATAGGTCTCTCTGCTCCCTGGTCTGCAAATGGACATACTCAGCAGACAAAGGCTGGGATGACAGTTTCTGGAAGATGGTTGGTTTGGAAGACTTTGTTGCAGATAATTACAGCAAAATAGGTAAAAGAATAAAAAAATTATAAGTGATCATGTGTACATATATGTGAAGATATCTGTGGGGAGTTTCTTGTTATTGTTGTTTATATTTTTGTTTCTTTTGTTTTTGTATGAATTAATATACAGGAACACAGCCCAGTTTTTCTAAGAGAGATAAGTCAGTTATGATGTGATGGCAATGACTAGTAGACCCTTGCCTTAGGACTCATATGAACTGAGCAGAGATGTATGCTGTGAAAATCTGCGTTAAAGTATAGAATCAGAAATTGGGCTAGACCGAGGGAGATGCATGGGGCAGCCAAGAATAGCATAATCAAGGGGCTATATACGGACTGTTTCCAGTCAGTGCTAGGAAACCAGTTTTGTGAATTAGGTTCATGGCAAAAGGCAAGGCTGTGTATGGACAGGAAAGGATAAAACTGAAAAGATCAAAATTAGAAGAATTAGGAACAAGACAGAAACTAGAACATGAGCCAGTGGTTCCTGACTTAGGCCTTAGGGCCCCAGACTCCCAGTTTTACATGGCAATGACTAGGTAGTAAAGCGCACCTTCTGTGTTCCAGGCACATTTCTCTGTGTGCTTTCACATAACCTTGTTTCATGTAGTTCACACAACTACTGACAAAAGCACTGTTGCCCTGTTTACAGGTGAGAATCGGATTAGTAACTTGTCTATGCGCAGAACCAATAAATAAGTCAAGATTGAAACCCTTCCAATGGGAGGGCCTAGAAGGAACTGATATTTTACTGGAATACAAATTTCAGCTTCAATTACTCAATTTTTTAAGTGATTTTTAAAATTTATATACACCCCCAAAAAGGTTGTTTTTCTTTACTGCTTATTCCTGTGGTATGTTGAAAATAACTTTTATTATAGTACATATTGATCACCTGTTTATGTCTTGATTCTACACTAGACCATGAGCTCCTTGACATAAGAACTTTCACTTATTTATTTTTGTATTACCAGTACTAGCATGGCACATTTTCCTAGCTAAATTACTACTTGATTAATAAGCGATTAAATTAACAATTGAGGTGGTTGGTATTGGGAAGCCAGCACTCTTTGCTTTCAAAAGCTGTAAAGATATTTACTGATTTTAGTACCATCTTTGGCAACTTGAGTCCAACTCTGATTTTCTGATTATTTTTACATTTTTCTGCTCTTTTTCCCACCTCACACAATACACACATTTAATTAGTATATTAGCTCTCCTAATAGAGCAATGCCTACAAGAAATATTCATTACAAGTCCATAATGTTAATCTAGCAGAAAATTTCCAGAGTAACTTTATTAGATTTTGCCTGTTAAGTTAATGGATTTTTAATGGGTATCCTAAGGAGACATATCATTAAGCAGAATATTGCTGTACATGAATTACAACATACCCATTCATCAAAATTAATTGTGTGATGTTTCCTTTGATTTTCATTTCTGATGACTTGTGCTTGAAATTTCAGTCTGAACCCCAGGCAGAAGGTATTTGAGAGGATGTTTGTTTTGTGTTATGACTTTCAGAAATTCCTCTGGAAGGTACCTCCAGACATTCTTTAGCAATTCTTGGAACTATGAAAAATGAATCTCAGAAGCCTCCCTATGAAGTGTTAAACATTTCCAGTGGCCTCATTGCCCGTCAAGATGTGGGCAATGTAGTACAAAACCTTTTAGCAGATTTGAGCATTGAGCGTCGTGGATTTGAGCATTAATACAATTACCATAATTCGCTCCATGTGGAGCTTTCAGCCAAGTCTTTACCAGCCTTCCTGGGCTCATGCAGTAAATAAATGCTTTCCCCGAAAACTGAACACCTCAGCAACTGATGGTCTTATGGAGGAATATTTTTGAAATAAATTATTTACGAAGTGTAAGTTAAGGATCAAATGCAATATTTATATGGTGCATTTCAAGGACAGGGGAAAAAATTGAGAGTGTTGTAAGTAACTACATGCAAGTTTCCAAAGCTAAAAGGTTACTCCCTAATGCCTTCATTCAAGGGAATATTTGGATGGTTTGGTTTGAGAACATTATACAAAGTAAGGAAAAAACAGCTCGTGAATCAAAAGAATATTGTGAACATTTCTTTACAATTGAAACTACACTAGTTGATTTAATGTTCAGAGATGATGGAGAAAGCCCAAATGTAGCTTTTTGGTAGGGGGATTATATACCCCTACCAGTAAAATGATCTGTGTCCAATAAAATGATCTGTGTCCATAAATTTTGACCTTCAGTTCCATGTGAATCATTCCCAGGTTACCTATCTAATCCTAAACATCTATGAAATGCAAACAGGAAGGAAGAGATCAGCAGGGAAAAGAGACCCTTAGGAAGATAAGCAATGTCCCACCTGTTCTAATCGATTATCCAGGCTCTCTTTCAGCATGTCCCAGTTGCCTTTATACTTCCTGGGAAAAGTGCTTTGTTGTATTATTGGGGTAGGCCACTTTATGAAAATTCATGTGTGCAACATGGCTGATTATAGCGTGATTATTTGCATTACTGAGAAAGCTTTGTTATATTAATATAAAAGAATTCAATGTGTTAGCTTGTAGATCATTCCTTATTTGGGATCAGGGAGGCCAGGCAAAGAACAAATGTAAAGCCCAAGTAGAAAGAGTTACTGACTGTTAGGGGAGAGGCAGAAATGAACATAAAGCACAAAGATAAAGCATATTTGGAAGAAGACAGTTTCTTGAGAGCAGGGAGGCTGCTTTTTTAAACTGGTTTTCTCTCCCTCTATGAGACTGTATTTTAGGCATCAGATGCCAGGGGCACAACCACCTGGCACATAGTAGATACCGATGAAATATTTGTTGAATGAGTAAATATATGTTTGAGTGAAGGATTTGATAAGTAAGTCCCTTTTTGGCTTCATTTGTCTCTAACACTCAGTAGACTCTCCATAAATTCTCTGAATTAAATGGTACTACTAGGTGACAGAGAGACTGCTAATATGTTTCATAAATTCCATGTTCACAGTCATCTTTCACCAATACCCTCTACTTAAGAAGGGACCCCATGGAAGATATACCCCAAATTGAGTGATAGCTGTGGTCCAACTTCACTCCTGTAGCAAATCTCTCAGGGACTTTTCCATGCTAGGAAATGTTACAGGCTCCTTTACAGAAAAACAACAACCACTTATTTTAGAAAGGCTGGGAATTACATTTTTCCATATAGTAAAATAAACCCAACAGTAACTGAAGCTGCATTTTAGATATTTTTGTCCTGTGGGTTTAAAATTGTAAATAAGAATCTTGACTAATGACATAAATATGCTAGTACTCACCACTGTTTTGCTCTAAGGTCTAACCAGTTGAGGACAATTCACAGAGCCACCTGAAGCAAAGTGCAGTATTGGCTTTGGTCAGTCTGAATTAAAGAGCATGGGGGAGGGGTGGTGTCCTCTTTCTTTTTGGAATCTGGCTGGACCTTGGGACCTGCATGAAACTGATTTACCCAGTCATTGGCAGGCCAAGAAGCTGGGACAAAGAGAAAAGAAACCTAGCTGTACTTGCTGGAAGCAGGCTTCACTTGATCTGTCAGATACATGAACTCAGAGATCTCACTGGCCTGAGGACAGGTGGTTCAGAAGAGAGTGTGCCTTAGCCCATTTTCTGCTGCTATAATAGAATACTCGAGTCTGTGTAGTTTATAAAGAGAAGAAATTAATTTGGCTTATGGTTCTGGAGGCTGGGGAGTCCAAGGGCATGGTGCTGGTGTCTGCTTGGAATCTGGTGGGTGCTTTCCTGCTGTATCGTCCCATGATGGAAGGCAAAAAGGCAAAATGGTACGCTGGAGTGAAAGAGGGCAAGAGAAGACCGAACTCACTTTTATCAGGAACCTACTCTCGAGATAAGAACATTAATCCATTCTTGAGGTCAGAGCCCTTATGGCCCAATCACTCTTAAAAGTCCCACCTCTTAATATCGTCACAATGGTGATTAAATTTCAACACGAGTTCTTGGGGGGCGTGGGGCATTCAAACCATAGCAGAGACACATGCCAAGCCAGCACTGACTCCATTTCAAGGCTGTGGTTCCACTTCCTGTTTAATATAGACTCATGGATGTTACATTCTTTCAAGTCTTATAGATCAACTAAATGATTTCTCCTCCTGTATGTGGAATAAGTGAGAGTATAGAAGCAGGAGATGGGAGTGTTCATATCAATACTGCTCCGTCTTGGGGGAGAGAAGAGAACATTCCCTTGTGGAAGTGTACCTAAGGGGTTTCCACCAACACATGCATCATGACCACTGTTGGAAGCCTGCGTCAGGAATGCCATCTATAGTTGTGGGTATTATAGAATCCTTTTTAAGCTATTAATACTCAATGTTCTGATTTTCCCAGTAGAACTGGACTTGTTTACAAGGACTCACCCATTCGCTCTTTAGAATGGGAAGCTTGTTTTCACTTGGATGTGAAGGAGCTGTGCAATTCACTGTTATCATTTCTGTCCCCAGAGCTCTGCTGAGCTGCTGCTGCTGCTATGTGTCATGTGATACAGGTGCTATTTATACTAACTAATATTGGGAGGGCTGGAGGAATCCTTGGCCACAGGTAATTTCAGCCATTTCTAGGCCATCTGGGGCCTGTCACACCATTGCCTCCCATGTCCTGAGGGAGGCCGTCCCCATCAGTTCTCTGGACCAGGCTTTGCCTTTGCCCTTCGCCCTGAGCTTTTGGTCTCACCCCAACATTTTATCGCCCTTTTTCTTTCTGTCCAAGTGATAGCACAAGGTCTTTCCAGTACTTGAAGGCAAATATCTTCTGAGTATTGAACTGCCTTAATTTACCCTTTGAAATCAAACTTGGCCTGATGGAGAGTGGCCTGGAGGTCTCCATGCCAGTTAGCAAGCCATGCAGTCAAGCATGCACCCAGCCGGGGGCTGGGCTAAGGACTGGGGATGCAAAAGTGAATCCACTGTGGTCCATGCCCTTGGGGATTTCATGTCTGCTGGGGCAGGGGTGGGTACATGAGTCAGCAATCTCATAATTT